AGAATGAAAGCACATTACATCGCGTAGCAGGGTAAACAGCGCCACATCTATGCAACACGTTACGTTTCAGTATGAAGTTGGCTTCGGTGGCGAGCGTCTGCATCCAGGCGTCACACTCCTGACCTCTGTTGACCTTTGCCACGAAGGTCAGCTCGTCGCTGCTCCTCGTCGCACTTATGACCCTGGCGCCACCTGTGCTCAGCCGCCGTCCGCTGAGGCTCGACAGTACGGCGGTGGCGCAGTGGTCGTCGGTCGTCATAACAATGACATTCACTGTGTGGGGAGGAGGAGAGTTGTTATCGAGGGTGCGTCTGAAATCATCGGGGCATCTGAGATGAGGGAGGTCTAGTGTGAGGGTATCGTCCGTGAGTGTGTTTGGTAGAAGGCCTACCGATGGTATCTGACGTGAGGCCATCATCTGATAACTGGGATATTTGCGGTGATTGTATCTGATGTGAGTGTGTATCGGATGTAAGTGTGTCTGATCTGATGGTATCTGATCTGATTATATTGGATGTAAGTGTGTCTTATTTTGATAGTATCTGATCTGATGGTATCTGATCTGATTGTATCTGATGCAAGTGTGTCTTATCTGGTGATATCTGAACTGATGGTGTCTGACGTGACAGCATCTAGGATGGCGGGGCTATCTTATGTCACTCTATTTAATGTGAAGGTGTTTGATGCAGCGATTATCACGTCTTATAGTCAGTTAATAATTAGTCTTATCACTAGACTTATTTATAAGGATTATTACTCTGCCACATACGATTATACACCATATGATTATTTGATGATATTATTGTTACACCATAAAATGACTACACTGTAACCCCAAGTATTATTAGGCTTATTTATTAGGCTTATCACTCGGCTATATACTATTATATGATCAGGAGTGCATAATAATTGATATCTTCTATTATACACTCCTAATATTATATTATTGTTATATGTATTGTTATATAGTATATTATATATACATATATATTATCACATGTATTGCTGGCTAACTAGTAATGTTTGCTCACCGCTCAGGACCGATAGAACGACACAACACATCGTCATGCGGCAGGCCGCCATGATTGATAAAGCTCCAGTATACACGGACGACGACGACCACGACGACGACGCCGGAGACTACGCCACCTGGCGAGCGTGATGCGGTAGCTCAGTAGTGTACACTGTCGTTAGTGAGCGATGGAAAGATGATATACTGTCTCATACGTGTAGCAGCAGCAGCAGCAGTGTGAGCAACGGCAGCGGTATAGCAATATATAGCTGGCTGGTGGAGTTACTATTGCACCGATCCTGTCGCTCTCAGTCACACAGACGCAGCTCGCGGCGTTTCCACACCAAGCGCTCGCTCTACACGGCTAATCAAAATCATATTCTCGGGCAAGGAAGTGGGAGCGGCGCTCAAGTATATCTGTATCGCCTTCCTGTCTGAAAGAAAGAGCGAGAGGCAGTGAGAGAGAGCGAGAGAGAGAGAGAGAGAGAGAGAGAGAGAGAGAGAGAGAGAGAGAGAGACATACCGAAGTGTGCATTATTGCAACAGGGTATACTTTAGTCGGCCAGCATATTGGGACAGGGTGTATTTTAGGGCGCAAAAGTGGTTTGCGACAGGGGCAGGTTTGTCAAGGTCGCGCCGAGGCACCCTCCTACCCAGTTCCGAGAGGGCGAAGCCCCCCCCCCCCGGGGAATAGATCCAAAAGATTAAATCCGGTACGTGATTTCCTACAACATAGCAGACAAGAGACAATATAGCGCATAGAGACATAGAGACAATTAATATAGCAGACATAGGCAGACATAGAGGGACAATATAGCAGACATAGCAACATAGAGACAATATGCAGAACAAAAGAGACATAGAGACAATTGAATCATAGCAGAATAGAGTACATAGAAGACAATATAGCAGCAGCATAGGCAGACATAGAAGAAAAAATATAGCAGACATAGCAAGACATAGCAGACAATATAGGCAAGACATAGCAGACAATAGAGACAATATAGGCACGAGCATAGAGACAATTAGGCAGACAAAGAGATCATAGAGACAATTAAATATAGCAAGACTAATAGCATGACATAGAGTACAATACTAGGGGCAGAACATATAGGCAGACATAGAGACAATATAGGCAGAGCAATAGGCAGACATAGAGACAATATAGGCAGACATAGCAGACATAGAGACAATATAGCAGACAGCATAGCAGACATAGAGACAATATAGCAGACATAGCAGACATAGAGACAATATAGCAGACATAGCAGACATAGCAGACATAGAGACAATATAGCAGACATAGCAGACATAGCAGACAATATAGCAAGACAGAGAATATAGCCTATACGGCTCTATAAGGGCTCAGAAAACATCTATACACCTAAGAAGACACGTTATAGGAATAATAATATAGTTAGTACAATGAAGCATACAATTGTCAATAAAATGCAGTAGGTTAAACATGAACTTATCTTGTCGTGTGTGTTTTTTGTGGATAAGGAAGGTTAGACGTTATTTTCACATAAACTATAGCTGACATCCTTAGGGTGGATATCCGGCTGTCCAATAGCAGTCGGTACCGAGTATCGTGGGAATGCAAAGCTCCGTTATGACGAGATGACCGTATTTGGCCCTATCTCAAATCTGCTCGCGATGGATGCTAAGCGCGGCAAGTTGCGAGACATGACCCGCGCATGCTACGAGTATTTCTTCGGTAATGATCGCTATAATATGACGATAAAGTCCATCCATGCACCGGACTTAAAACATTCAGATGCGCAGGTACCCGAGTAAGTCCAAACTAGTTAATAATTGAAGCAAATAATGCATTGATCCGCATGCGCGACGTATTACTGAGATATAATAAATAGGTATAGGTAATAAGTAATATTACATTAACTAACATATTAATGTAACTCCTGATTTATCTACTGTCTGCACTAGGGGCTTCGCCCGTGAAAAACGTCGGTAATCGCTATGTAGCAGATATACAACAATGAACCATAAAATAAACGTAACGCGTTCATGAAGCTGACGCGTGACGGGATGGCGCTCAACACGCTTAATCAGATTTTCAGGGCGCAAAATTAATCATAAACCGTGAAATAAACTCGGTGTAACTATGTAAGATTATTCATTGTTATCATTGCGACCTGCCACGTGTCGATTCCGGCCATCAGCTCCCCGGTAATAGCGCCATATATCGCAAAACACTCGAGCTGCTTTACTATTATACGCGGCAGCAGATAGATAATTCAATTACGGCGAATCTAAACCTTGATTGCATGACTTAGATAATAATAAACGCGTTTAGATGCGAATGATATAACGTAATGAAGCGCAGAGCTTCCGCCCACACTGTTAGGAACAGAAGTCCTAAATGTTTGAGAGAGCCGACCCATGAGTTATGCTCGCCGAACTCTCAAGAAATTTTGTAGCTCCCACCGAATAGACGCGCAAACGAAAAACGCCAATCCGCCACGCACGACGAAAATTACCGAGAAAAGGCCGAGAAGAGTACGGCCCAAGCCACAACCCACCTCTTTGTGCGATAGAACTCAATGATCCAGTGCTGATGCGTTCAGCTCTCGCAAAGGTATCTCGCCTCGGTTATCCGTAGCGCCTCAGCTAATTATCTATTATGTCTCAATTCTAACCCGCCTAAAGGTATTCGTATCAGGCAAGATTCATCTTTACGCAGAACATGTCTGAATCAATTATGGCACGACTTTATCCTATAAAAGATTATGGGAAACTATAATGCCCTAGCTGCTAATATGCCCTATATATATATATATAATATATATATATATATAATATAATATGTATATATATATTATATATAGGCCCGCTATATATGGCCCTAAGGTGATTCGCACGCGTGATAGGTGGAATCAGTA